ATATTTAATTTACACCTAAATATTTAGTTCACCAACTAAATATTTAACTTGCAAGTTAAATATTTATGTAATGAATTAAACATTTAGCTTGAACATAAACATTTAGTTTGTAAACTAAATATTTAATGTGGAGCTAAATATTTAGCTTGCTAACTAAATATTTAACTTGCAAGTTAAGTATTTAGTCTGTAACCTAAATGTTTAGCTTGTAAATTAAGTATTTAGGTTGGAACTACGGTATTTATAAATGTATGAATAACATGGTGAAAATATGACTGGAAAAAAGCAACAACTTTTTTTTTCTTATAAAAGGCTAAATAAACCAAAATATTGCTGTTAATTTTTGAATGTGTACTTTTACTAGCAGCACCCCATAAATATTTGTGTTTTTAAGGTCAGTTGCCTGTGGCGGACATCTTATTTTAGGTTGACTGTAAATGTTAATCAGTTTTAGAGGTATGTTCAATGATTAAGCATATACTTCCTTAAAATCTGCTCTGTGATTCATGAAATATTTTGTTATCGGACACACACACATCAGCAAAAACTTTTAGTACACGCAAGGATGTGATTAGATTACGTTTCTTTTAAAACATTCAGCAATGATCAGTGAGGATCATTAATGTGATGTGTTTGTGCTGGATATTATTGTGCTTAACCACATAAACAAACTCCAATCACTTATTTAAGTCAATAATCCGGTCATATTCAGCCTTCAAAGACTTTTGTGTCAGAGTTTCTCTGGACCTCAAGAAGTCAGAAAAAGATTATTAAAAAAAAAAAAAAAAAAAAATTAAAAAGCATCGCTTTTATAAAAGGGTTTGAAGTTTTTTTTTTCCAAGTTCAGCTTTCAGTCCTCTGTTTGACGTCACGCCCGGCTGGGGGTTCGCTCTAAATAAGTCTCATGGCTAAGTTAGGAAACTCGGAGCTTACTGGAGGAATGTTTAAAACAACAAACAGCACGGTTGGCTGTGATATTTTCTCCTCACATGTTCTGTTGCAGAGGAGCGCCAACTCGATTCAGCTCTTAATATTTGTAAATAAAATAAAATAAAAAATGACATAAGATCTACCTCAGTTTGTGCACTCTACACCATATAAAAGTCACAAAGAAGGGCGGAGGAGTCGCTGCACCGGAGTTTTGTTGACCCCACGTGTGACGAGGAGCCACTTGAGCCGTGAAATGGCTTTCATTTTCACCCAGAGCAGAACTCCCAGGCTCCAAGTCCAGAGACTATCAGGACTGGCTGAAGCTGGTTTTTCCTACAAAACTGCAAACCACTCAAGTAATTTGCATTTATGACCACACTGTTTTGTACTGTCAAGCTTAAAAAGCGTATATTTTGAGTGAAATACGAGGCTACGACGAAGTATTCACGCCCCTTGATATTTTCTGTGTGCAAACTTTCCTCTTTGTCACGTTACAACCACAAACTTCACCAAATTTAATGGGATTTTGTGTTTTAGAAAGTAGTGCGTAATTGTGAAGTTGAAGGAAAACGAGGTCTGGACCATTCTGGCACATGAATATGTTTTGATTTGAACCATTCTATTGTAGCTCTGGTGAGATTTTTGGGTCATTGTCCCGCTGGAAGATGAATCTCCGCCCCAGTCTGTTGCAGACACTTAACAGGTCCAGGGTTGCCCCACATTTATCTCCATCCATCTTCTCATCAATTTTGACCAACTTCCTTGGCTTTGTTGAAGAAAAGCATTTCCAAAGCGTGATGCTGCCACCACTATGTTTTACAGTGGGGATGGCGTGTGCAGTCCAAAAAGTTCAGGTTTGGTCTGATCTGAGCAGCTTCTTCCACGTGTTTGTTTGGCTTGTGTCAAAATGCGAACAGGACTTCTTCAGTCTTTCATTCAACAATGGCGTTCTTCTTGCCACTCTTCATGAAGGCCAGATTTGTGGAGTGCATGACTAAAGGGCAAAACACACAGGCGGCATGTGATGCCCGTGCTTTTTATCATTTTCTAGTAAGACCCCCACAACAGCAGCGAGTGGCTGCCAACCGATGTTCTATGTGGTAAACTTTAAGAGACGACACCATTTTAAAATGTTTTCAGCAATGCATCGCATTTCTTCTCATGTTTTGTTGTTGTTTTATTGTTGTTGATTAGGAAAAATATATTTTGTGGTTGAGAATTTTTCTTATTTTGTTTGTTTATTTTTCTTATTTGTATGAGCTCAAATTTAACAGTTTGATAATTTTTTAATGGGAGTTTCACTCTGCCTGTTGTCACCGGTTCATAACGTTTATGGACAGAATTTCTCGGTGCAGCCAGGGGGCGGAGGGAGTCCGGTTCGGTGGCCTCAAGATTCCATCTCTGCTCTTTACAGATGATGTGGTCCTGTTGGCATCACTGTGCCGTGACCTTCAGCTTTCACTGGACCGGTTTGCAGCTGGGATGAGAATCAGCACCTCTAAATTTGAGGCCATGGTCCTCAACCGGGAAAGGGTGGATTGCTCTCTTTGGGTGAAGGGTGTGGTTCTGCCTCAAGTGGAGGAGTTCAAGTATCTCGGGGTTTTGTTCACGAGTGAGGGAAGAATGGAGCGTGAGATTGACAGACAGATTGGTGCAGCGTCTGTAGTATTGCGGACTCTGTACCGGTCCATTGCGGTGAAGAGGGAGTTGAGCTGAAAGGTGAAGCTCTCTGTTTACCGGTCGGTCTCCGTTCTTACCCTCACCTACTGCCACAAACTCTGGCTGGTGACCAAAAGAATGAGATCGCGGATACAGGCGATTTAAATGAGTTTCCTCTGCAGGGTAGCTGGACTCTCCCTTTGAGATAGGGTGAAACGTTCAGTTATACAGGAGAAACTCTGAGTAGAACCGCTGCTCCTCCTCATAGAGAGGAGTCAGTTGAGGTGGTTTGGGCATCTGGTAAGGATGCTCCCTGGGCGCCTCCCTAGGGAGGTGCTTCGAGCATGTCCGGCTGGGAGGAGACCCCGGGGAAGACCCAGGACACATTGGAGAGACTATGTTTCTCACTTGACCTGGGAACAGCTTGGAATCCTCCCAGAGGAGCTGGAAGAGGTGGCTGTGGAAAGAGATGTCTGGACCTCCCTGCTCAAGCTGCTGCTCCCATGACCCGACTTCAGAACAAGCAGAAAATGATGGATGGATGGATGGATGGATGGATGGATGGATGGATGGATGGATGGATGGATGGATGGATGGATGGATGGATGCATGGATGGATGGATGGATGGATGGATGGATGGATGGAT